CACACACACACACACACACACTGAAAACCATTATCCTATATGGCTTCTATCATACTTAGCGTCTTCATAGCTTGATTCTTGGACAAACTATGAATGCTGTTCCTTTATTCTCAGTACCTTATTGGTTCTCAGTTTCTTATTGGTTCAAACATCTATTGATCGAAATCAGATGAGACTAGCACATTTTTTTCCTTTAATTTTAAATCCAGGATACAAAGTGTCAGTGCTTGGACCAGCACCCACGGGCATATTTTCAAAGGTGTTTCGTTTGGCCTGATCCGTGTTTCTGAAGGCAGTATAAGTAGCAGATGCTGCCTCTAGTGCCAGGACCTGCAATGTAGCCCGCCTTGTCTTACACTGGGAGAAAGATGGGGCTTTCTACTCCGGCAAAGTTACAGTCTCAGAAAGTCCCACAGGGCCAGTTCTACCCTGGCCCCTAGGGTCACATGAGTCAGCATCGACTCAGTGGCAGTGAGCTGTGTGTTTTGATTTTTTCAGTTTGTCTTATAATAACTCCTGTATACTCATTGTTAGCTCTCTAATCATGTCAGGTCATTAAGTTTGGGGCACTTGTCGTAGTTGTTTGTTTTGTGGTTATTTGTTTGCTTTTGTTTTGTTTGCCTTGTTTGTGCTTTCCTAAGCCAATTAGAATGTCAGGTTAGGCTCTGGTCCCAGGAGGAGATGATCACATATTTGTCCCCTGTTCTGGAAGCTTTAGTTCACCGAAGGGAAGATTTCTTAGACTCCTAATCTAGAAATTAAAAATGTCCTTTGGTGTGGTAAAAAGCCCTCCTTGGTAATCCAGAATCTACTCTTCATCACAGATCTCTCTGTCCAGGAAAGTGTGAGGGGCTGGCCACTTCAACTGTCCTCACCAGAGGCTTGCTTTAAGACACTGAGTGTTATTATGGCTTCTGAGATCCCTGGACATGGGCTGTGTGTGGGGGTGGGGCCGGGAGAGCATCATTCTAGAAGTATTCTGCTCCTTCCTCTGACAGAGACTCCATGTGACAGAGGCCTCCCTTCTAGGAGGCTCCATTTCCTCATCTGAAAAATTAGGCTGTACTTCACAGTTTCTGGAGTTCTTCTTAGGATTAATACTATTTAAAATTTCTCTTGTATTCATTAATATTGTTATCTGTGTCTCCCCTCAGGAGAAGTAATGGAAAAATCCAGTTCCTTCATGATGGACCATGCTAGCTTCTCGATGTAAATGGATACCAAGTGATGACATCCTCGTTGTCATCTTCATCGTTCCCACGCTCTGACTGCCCTCTCCCTCATCTTGGCAGATACGCCAGGTGAGAATCAGAATCGGCGTTGTCAGTGTTGCCTGGCTAAAGATGTTGTGCCACCTCCCAGCCCCATTTCAAACCCATTTCTCACTGTTTGAATGGCTTTCACTCAGTAAAAGAATCTCCGTGGAGAGTTTATTTGCACTTGTACTGATATTTATTTCTTAGATAAAGGTATAATAACTTTAAAAAGAATCTTCATGAACAGAGAAAAGTTTGTACAAAAACCCTAAAATGGTTCTTAAGAAACACACCAGTCAACACTCCATATTCTCCCAAGTCTTTAACTTATTAATCAGCAAGCATCACCAAAAACTAGTTTTAGTTCCTTATAATGGACTGTTTTAGTTCCTCATATTGGTCCTTTTTCTGCAATTCCTTAAAAGAGAAACTACTTCATTCCAAAAAATGTCGTTCCTAGGAAGAAGACTTTCTGTCTGTTTCTTTTCATCGCTTCTCTTCTCTTGCCTCACCCCTTGCTGTCTTCCTGATCACAACCTTAGTGCAGCATTTCTGTCACTCATTACTATACTGATTGAGGTTGCTTGATTAGCTTCTATACCTGTCAAATGTAGGCACTACTTAGGGATCAAGAAAACATGGACAATAGTATCCTCTTCTAATGGGCAGTGGGAGCTCATGAAAGTTTTGTAACCCAGATTGATCCTTGCTTACTTTCCTGGCCCTCATTTTCTAAGTTCTTTGCATGCTGATGAGTCAGTCTTGTCCCAGATAGGAACACAGGATGGTCTAGCCCACCTCTATGATGGGCCTGACAATGCACGGTTGTGGTTGCTATTAGGCGCTATTGAATCCATTTCAACTCCTAATGACTCAACCCCATGTGGCAGGGTTGACAGGTCTTTCTCCCCTGGCCAAATCCACTGATTGGATTCATCGGTGGTTAGCCACTGAATGCTTAACCTCTGAGCACCAGGGCTCCAGAAAACAAAAGGAGACCTGTAGCAATCTGGTCTTCACAGAGTCAAGGAGAAAGAGGGAAACTATGACCATCCTGGATGCCTCTTGTCTTCTCCATAAAAGAAAAGTGGTAGAAAAAGAAACACAAACAGTTGTAGCTTGCTTCTTTTAGATATTCGATCACTAGGTTCTAAATAAATCACAACTTTATAGATTCTGTCTTTAGGATCATGATTCACATAACATCTTCAACAGAACAATCAGGGACAACAGTGGGTCTGCATTAGAGTTAAATTTAAAATGCAGGTCATTTTGAGGTCAAGTTTAAAACCAAGATCAATTCGGGCCATGGAACTAAGCAATGTATGGAGCCAACTCTGAAGGTTGTAGAAATTAAGGAGCTAATTCTGAAAATTATAGACTCAAACTAATGAAGCAGCTGAAGCAAAAAAAAAAAAAGCAACTGAAGAGAAGTTAGCTGAAAAAGAAGTTGTGATCTTGGAATGAAAAGAGTTGGGAATGCATGCTCAAATAGATTTTTCAAATGTTAAGAGCAAAAATAATAAAGAGAAGAAATAGGAATGAGCAAAGCATTCAAAAAAAGCAAATAATTAAGGTTCAGGTCAATAAAATGGAACAGAGAACAGTCACTCTCCAGAAGTTAACAATTAAGGAACAAATAAGAGGAACCACAGAAGACTGAATTCAGCAAGAGAAAGAATGTGGGAGATAATTACACGTCAGGGTAGATGAGAAACCTGAACAACTTAGGAGCAGGCACGGTTTAGGCACAAGGAGTGAGACTGCAGTCACAAATGGGATGTGTGAGGGTGCTAACAAAGGAAGCCAATAAGTCATTCTCTACAAGTCAAGTTTGCTGTGTGAATCTCAAAATCCCATGATTGTGTTTCCAACAATGAAAATATGTGAATTCCCCAATTTCCACTCCTCAATCAGTTCTGACACCAACTGCACACACATAGCTGTGTGTCACATCTCACAAGTTCACCAGACACTGTCCCCCGAGCTCCAAGTGCCAGCCACAAGCTCAGGAGCACACAGGACACACTTGCTTCTACCTACTGACTGCAAATTTAAAACTTCCCCCACGAACCTTGCAGGATACCAATCACTGTAACTGTTTACAGGAGTAGAAAGCCCAGGCTTTCTCCCTCAGAACAGCTGGTAGTTTTGAACTGCAGATTTTGAGGATCTCGGCCTAACGCGTAACCCCTATACCACCAAGTCTACACCATGCACTTTATCTGCTGGCTCAAGCTACCGCTTCATGATGAGGTCTGGGAATGTTTCCAAACTCGATGTTGATGTCTTTCACCATCCAGGAAGTGTCCAACATTTGTATTAACTTGATCACATAGTTATGATGAGGCCCCATTGCATAACCAGGATTGGGGTCCCATTGAAAAGGCACGCTTGAATAAATCATGGCCTTTCCGAGGTTAGCCACCCAGTTGGTTCTGAGTTCCATACAGGAGCACTGGAAGCTTCTGATGCCCTTTGTCATTCTGACCTGGGAAGCAGGCCACGGTAAAGAAGAATATATTCAACAACCAGAATAATGGCTGTACTTTTGTGAAGTCTGTGGGCCAACCCAACACAAACCACTACCTTCTAAGGGTCACAGTCCATTTCATCACAGCAATGCCTCCTACATCAGCCTTCACGCATTCCCTTCATTCCGGACAACTTCCACTGTTCCTAGATAAATACTTCATACCTTCTTCATTATGATCCTTAATGGATGTGTGCTGTTGCTTTATCTCATTTTGAATCATGACCCATCTGAAAATAAGGTCCTGAAAGCTTTGCTCCGTTTCTGTCATTAGGCTTGACTTTACTTCAAGGAGGTAGTTCTTCCCAGTTATAATCTGAGTGCCTTCCGATATGAGGGGTTATCTTTGGGCACTACTCAGACTCGGTTCTACTACTAGTCATAAGGCTTTCAGTGGCTAATCTCTCAAAACTGGACAGCCTATTCCTGCTTCCTAGTGTGTACTTAGTCTGGAACAGGCTGAAACCTGTTCATCATGGGTGACCCTGCTTGAAATACAGGTGGGCATAGCTTCCGGCATCTAACCAACATATGACAAGCTGACAGACGAGTGGTGGTCATGGATAGAGAAGTGCTCGTTTACACTGAGTACTAGAGGAGTTCTGACTACTTTGTACAATATGCTGTACTGGGCACCCGGGTAGGATGGGAAAGCTTCCTTTCTTGTGCAGGCTCCATTCCAGAAGTGGAGTACATGAAAACATTTACAATGGTAATTTAAAAGTATTGCTCTTAGGGTCCCCCAGTATACTTGCATGTGTGTATTTGATGCAAAATATGCGTAAACATGTCTCTGTAATCATCTTTCTCCTGCTGGGTGGCTGGCCAGTTCAAAATTCTTGGGGTTGGGGTTGGCAGCTGGTCATGTAACTCACCAGAGCTCCTCCTAGGATGGGTTAGAGCAGCCCTCTGCAGGCTCTCATGCCGCAATCTTTATAGAAACAGATTGTCATCTCTTTCTCCCATGCTGCATCCTGTGAGTTCAAACTGCTGGTCTCCCTGTCAACGAGGAAAAGGACCCAAACATGTGGCGGTGGGCAGGAAAGTCTTCCACGCAGAGCAGAGACACAGATCTGAGATGCAAATCCTCTGTGGGCAAACGGAAGGAAGGAGACGTGGGTTACCAAAGGAAAGCACAGTGGTAGTAAAAGATCAAAATGACTGCACCCTTGGGACAATATGACATCCTGAGGAGATAGTAAACGTAGGGTCAGGTGAGATCCAGCCTCACATCCAGATGGGTCCTGAGGGGCAGTTGTGTAGTTGAAGGGAAGAAATTAAGAGACAGACCAAAGGTTTGTGGTGCTCACCTCCCGCATGACTTCAAGAGGCAGGTCCACGCACAGAGAGAATATTGTACTCTCAACATCAGCTGATATACTCTTGGGTACACATGCCCCTCTAATTACAGGTTCCTGCATAGGTAACAAAGTGGAGTGTACCCTATCCCTAAATGCCCCTGGGTTAATTGGAGGAGTAACCTAACACCAGTGCTGGGGGACAGGTAAAGGTGAGTGACTGTCGCCTGAGAAGGGAGAGCAAATGCAACATGTCTGCTCCTAGAGATGAGGCTGCCAGCAAGATAGTATTCAGCCATGTGCTTGTAAGAATTAACTTTATGGTAGCACTATTAGGGGAGGATATTGTGGATATCAATCTTGGTAATGAGAAAGTGATGGAGACTCCTCTCTAACCACAAATGTGAAGGCCTCCCTCCACCCAGAATTCTGGCCTGCCAGATTTCTTAAAATATGAGGATAAAGAATTTGTTCGCATACACTCTCTTCCCATTCCTCTGTTTCCCACAAAGTCAGGAGACCTAAGTTCTATTATGTTATCTGTCAAAAACTAGCATGTGACCATGGACCAGTCCCTCCTCTCTATGGGTTTTAATGTTCAAGTATAATAGCCACAATCAAGCTTGCTAGCAGTTGAAAATGCCACTAGTTACACCTGTTTTTAAAGGTATACTTAGAATTCCCCAGTCATCTTTCTTGGGGACCTACATGCCCAGTCTTTCTGCAACAGTCAGTATGTCTGGACAGAATTAGAAACTTTGTTTCTCAATACAACGGAATGACATTCCACCCAGTCCTGCACCATCCTCACAATTGTTTTTGTGATCTTGACCTCTCATCTAGGATCATCCTCTTTTTCACTGCCCCTCCACTTTACCACGCCTGCTGTATTCTTCCAGGGACTGGTCGCAGTACATGAGGCAAAGTCTCTCCATCCTTGCCTCTAAGGAACATTTTGGCTGTATTTCTTCCAAGATAGATTTGTCTGTCCTTTGGGTAGTCCATAGTACTTTCAATGAAATGCATCAATTCTTCTTTGGTCTTCCGTGTTCATTGTTCAACTTATTCATACATATGAGACAATAGAGAACACTATGACCTTGGTCAGGCGCAAATTAGTCCTCAAAGTAACATCCTTACTTTTAAACTCTGTAAAGCAGCTTATGCAGCAGAGTTACCCAATGTAATGCTTCATCTGATGTTTTCACTGCTGTTTCCATTAACATTGATTGTGGATCCAACCAAAATGACATTCTTGAAAACTTCTATCTTTTATCCATTTATAATGATGTTGTCTTTTAGTCCAGTGAAGATTATTTGTTTGTTTTTTCTTTTATATTTGGTTGTGATCCATATAGAAAGATCTATATTAAAGGGCTTCAAGTCTTCTTCACTTTCAGTAAGCAAACCTGTGTGTGCTGTCTGCATACTAAAGGTTGTTTATGAAACTTCTTCTATCTCGATGCCTCCTCTTTCTTCATATGGTCCAGCTTCTCTTATTGCTTGATCAGCACATAGATTAAGGAGGGTGAATCAATGCAACCACGAATCACGCCTTTTCGGATTTTAAACCATACAATATTTGAATCTCTCTTTTGTTTTTATCCTCGGATAAAATTATTTCAAAATGTATTTATCAAAGGCAAATAATTGTATATCATTCTACTCATGCCTGAATATTCCCCCCACCTTAAGTTCTTGTAAATGTCATTTTCTCCTCCTCAATGCAGTTCATTACTATATCTAAGGAAGAAAAATGACCCAGTCTAACACACAGCCAGCCTGTAAAAATGGTAGAACCAGGAAAGCTACCATGCTATTTCAGAAAAAGTATTCCAATAAAAAATATACAATAAACCCAGGGCAATTATCTAAATTCCTCAGGAATCTAATTTTTCATTGGTAAAAGAAAATGTTAACAAGTGCCCAACAGATTGGTTTTAGAAGTAACATTTTATAACAGATATGAAAGTATTCATAAATTTTCAAACACTTGCAAATGTAAGGCAGTGGCATATAAAAATAATCCTGGTTTTAGTGAGTTTTATTGGCTATAGAAATGTCATGTGCAACCAACCGTCTTTCATAGAAAAGAATTCCCACAGCTTCACAGGAGTTTCTGTCTTATTCCAGGAATCTATTTTCATAAAACCTGTTTCGCAACAGAGGAAAAGATTCCAGAAAGATATAAGGCAGGACCCAAGCCGGTTGGACAGACACCAGAGAGTCATTCTTTCTGCCTCCACCTGACTGTCCTTGGCCGCTTCTTACCATGACATCGAAAGCCTCTGTCCTAATCTTGGTCCTGAAACTTGCGATCATCCTCAGTGAGTATCACCCTCCTGAAAGTGCTCCTAGGCTATAGCAACAGCTCCACGGCCATTTCTGTCCACATAATGTTGGGATGCTCTCTTGACATCTTGGTTTGCTGTGCCTTAAAATTGACTTGATGGCAGTGGGTTCCGTTTTTTGTTTTCTCATCACATAGATAATATGTTTGAAATGTATTTTGTGTGTAGTGGTTACACTTTGGGCTGTGATCCCCGTAGTCAGCAGTTTGAAACTACCAGCAACTCCATGAGAGAAAGACTGGGCTTTCTAATCCCATAAACAGTTATAGTCTCAGAAACCCAAAGCAAGGAGCTATGGGTCAGCATTGACTCCAGAGCAGTGAGTTTTTTTGACCAATAAATTACAAGATTGTATAAGAGCAGACTTCTTAATGATCACGTAAGGCCAAATTCTTATTCATAAAAACATTTTCTGTAAGATCCTTGAGAAGTTGTCATTAATCCCCTGCCTTGACTTGGTAGCATTGTTTGTGGGGACCTCAATTCTTTATCTAACAGGCTAACCTATTGTGTGGAATGAGTTATTACATTATTCCTCTATTAAAGAGAAATCTTCCATCCTAGTATTTTCAACCACTGGCCAATGTCCACATCTTCATGAATATGAAACTCACCTGCTTTTTCAAAATTTACTGAGCCTTGGTTATGAGGCAGGAAAAAATAGGGAAATCCCTTCCTTAGCATGACAGTTTGGGTTTTTTAAAATTTTGGGTTTTTTGGCTACATCTATATCTCACTCCAAAAAGGAGGCCAGAAGATCTGTGTTGAGAGTCCACCCTTAGTACCACAGTGTTGCATCGTTCTGAAGAGAGTGCACGATTTTCGGGGAAACTCAAGAACAAAAAGATAAATGAAAGGATGCTTTTTCCCTCAAAATTTAGGTTCTTCCAGAGTCTAACTTTCTCTCTCTCTCTCTCTCTTTATTTGCCAGATGTAGGATGTGCCCAACAGAGAAAACAGGTCAGTACATCACTTTGGTATGAAAGTTGTACTTTTATGTAAATTTAAAATAAGTATTAGAAAGAGAAATATTTGATATTTAATTAGAAATATTAAATATTTTTATATATTTGAAGATCAATTTCTGAAGTAGAAAATGTAGTTGCATTTAAGAAGCCATATTTCTAAAGTAGAAGGGATAGAACACGTGAGGGGACACCTAGCATTGTAGCTATCGTAATTTGGGGCTTGAATGCCAACTCTATGATCACGTGGGACAAGGGAACAGTATCTACCTATTAAAATTATTATAAAGTTTAAGATTATAATTTTGAAGAAGGCTTCAAAGCACAGTAAGGCTTATTAAGAAGTCGTGATTCTTACAATGTTAACTGATTCCCACCCATGACTATTCTCTATCTTAGAGAATGAAGATTGTCGTTTTTTTTTAGTCATAACTCAATGAAAATAATGACTATTGTTGAGAAAAATCTAAATGTGATTTAAAAAAAAACAACACTTTAAACCAGCAATAAAGTAATTTGGGTTATAAACCAAGCTATGCCATGTGACTTTCCAATTTGAACAATTTCTTTCACTTCTTTGTCCCCACCCACCCCCTCTATGGAAAGTAATTGGTTTAAGAAGATAAATTTTACTATCTGGCAGGCATGAGTGCAAGCCATTTTTCAAAATTTTGTATCTGTGTAAGAATAAAAGGGTTAATGAATGTTCAACACGTAATTAGTTTCTGCTCACACTGTATGACCTAAATGCTGGCGCTTGGGCTCAAGCAAGCAAGGAGGGGAAGTGGAATCATGGTGGCATGTAATTATCAAGAGACATTGTAAGCTGCTCTACTTCTGCACAACCAGGATTTCCAACATGCAATGGGAGCCCTCCCACTTTGATTGGAAAATAGTAAGTTCTAAAGATAAAGTTCATTTTTAAAAATGGATGTTTTTAATATGCTTCCCCCCTCCCCCAGGTTGATTGCAGTCAATATAAAAAGTTACCACCAGGAGAAGAACGACTATGTCATGAAATCTATGCACCAATTTGTGGCTCTGATGGCCAAACGTATGCCAACGAATGCTTCTTTTGTTCTGAAGTGGTGTAAGTATTGAAACATCTTTTCTATGCTTAAAGTGTTAAGATAAATATACTTCAATTAAATGATGTGGCCTGAGCATAGGAAATATATGAAGCATGACATTTTGACCCTAAGAAATAGAACTCTCCAAATTTATATGATTTGTAAGTTTCTGCTGTCATTTTATTCCTACATATTCTGATTGCAAGAATTAATCAAAGAATTCCAGATCCTCTGAGTTGAGGGAAAAATCAAAGGTCATGGATTTCAATTTTCTTTTGCTTAAACTCCCTCTAAAAAGAAACACACAAAAAAGAAGAAAATGAAGAAGAAGAGTCACCAAAGAGTCTCAAAATTCATGATTGATCATTTTCAGGGACCAAGAACACCCCTCTTCTAGACAGGACACGTCATACCTGTTAGAATAAGTTGCGTTTATTGTTTAACTTCACCAATTATTTGGCTTTGTCAATATCTCTATTGACCGGTACAAAGTCACCCAAATAAAAAAAGCAGACTCACTGCCATTCAATTAACCCTAACTCATAGGGACCCTGTAAATAAAAAATCTGAATTCATTGCCATTGAGTCAATGCCACTCATAGTGATCCTATCGGACAGAGTAGAACTGCCCCTGAGTCTCTGAGGCTGTCACTCTTTACAGGAGTAGAAAGCCCAAGCTTTCCCCCTGAACAGTAGCTGGTGGTTTCAAACTGCAAACCTTGCAGTTTGCAACCTAACGTGTAACCACTGCACCACCAGAGCTCACCCATCGTGGCCCAGTAAGTCCCCGTGGGTTTCTGAGGCTGTAAATCTTTACTGGAGCCGAAAATTTCATCTTTCTCCCACAATGCAGCTGGTGAGTTTGAACCACAGATATTGTAGTTAGCTGCCCAATGTGTAACCCACTAACTTCAAATATGTTGAAAATATACAAAATTTAAAAAGGGAATTTAGTATGTATGTCAAACTGCTCTGATTATAGTTGAATGAAAAGAAAAATTGCTATTATACTGCTTTCCAATCTGGAAAATATTGGCCCCTGGAGGGTGCTGACATGATCCAAGGAGGCTGAACAAGCAGATGGCTACGCTTCATCCTATATCATGCACATTAATGTAAAAGTTTTTAATTGCCAGGGTGGCACTGAGTAATATTTTTATGAAAAGAGAGTGCGGTAGGTCAAATAAATTCCAGAACCTATAAATGAAATGGGTTTCTACATGCATCTCCTTTAAATAAAAAAACTCATTAACATAATAGAGCCTATTTTCAAGAATACAAATTGATTGAGATATAGTTTGAACATCAACTTTATGCACTCAATGTCAGTTGTTAAAATATTCTGATTATCATCACTCCTTTTTAAAACATCAATTATTACAAACATGCGGGTACATTTTTTAGTTTGTTGGTGAAGTTTGAATGAAATGCATACAACTTCCGGGTTTCTCATTTGTTGCCACTTTCTCCCCACAGGAAAACTAACAGCAAACTTAAATTTGCACATTTTGGAAAATGTTGAATCTGCCTGGAGATTTTGAAATAACTTTTCGTGTATCCATTCACAAGAGACCCATCTTTCTCCCCAGATAACCTATGCCTTATTGAATAATTCTGCCCCATTATGTCTTCATTCATATGTCAAATAAAATAGACTTACCTTAAATACATGTATCTGAATCATCTTATTTGGGAACTGAATCCTTTAGATTTACTCCACTTTTGGCAGTGGATATTAGGTCAATTTGGGGCTAGGTTTTATAAGAACTTTTCTGCTAACACCACAAGTTAGTTAGGTGCATGTGGCAGATTTTAGGTCAGCTAACACTTATGTAGGGGTGGAGTCCAGCCTGCATATCAGGTCACAGGCTGATGATGCCTCCTGGGACGTGTGACTTTCTTGTAAGAGAGAAGCTTGGAATACCTCACCCTCCCTCCCTACCCCTTCGCCTTCCTGCATATTCAGTCTCCATACCTGCCATGAGGGGTGGCCCCAGGTGGGCCATCAACTCTAAGAACTGTCACCACCCTGCCTTGTTTCACTGTTCTTGGATCCCACACAACTCTGCACCCTGTACCCAGTAGCACTTGATCTTCCTGCCCACACTTCACCTTCCTGCATCACGGCCCTGCATCTCTGTGAGTCCGAAGAGGTCTCCCGCAACCATCAGGTTCCTGGACATCAGCTGGCCTGGGCTGAAATACCTTCTTGACATAAGATTATTTCTTGATATAAAACTTTATCCTATACATATATGAGTGTGTTATTCTGGGTAGACTACAGAAACAAAATTCATAGACACTCATATTTTATAAGAGAGGGTTTTATATAAAGGGTAAGTCTACATTAAGAAAGCATCCCAACCCAGTGCTGTCCAAGCCCCTAAGCCCAACATTAGTCCATATGTCCAACAGCAATCTACAAAGTCCTCCTCAATCTCACAAAACACACACAATGATGCTGACTGCAGGAAGAAAACTGAAGCAGTGAGCATATAAGCATCTCAGCACTGGCAAGGGTCTCCACGCGGCTTCTCCTGCACCCACGGCTGTAATCAGGATAGGTCCATGTGGTTTCTCCTCAGGGATGTCTCACAGGAAGTTGGCCAGCTGAGGCAGAGAACTAGCTAAGGCAGCTTCACACTGGCCCAACCACTAGAGAACAAGAGACCAGAAAGGTGAGACTTGCCAAACCATTTATCTTTCTGCCCTTCAATTAATCCCACAAGTGTTCATTGGCCAGGTTGGCACAATAAACCTTAACTATCACAACCCTCCCCTTGCTAGTTTAGCACTTGTATACAATTCTTTGGCCATATATATAATTTTCAAACAAGCAATAATAAAATCATATCTGTACCTAAGAGGATAAAACTAAAATGCATATCATTCAAAAATGTGCCACCCTCATTTAAGCATAACATTTTATAAGTGAACAAAACAAAAATCACCCTATCCTTAACAATCACAGTTAAGTAACATCTATACCTTAATCCTATAATCCTATGAATATATCCCCCCCCATAAAAGTTTGTAAGCCAGCCACTTCATGCCTTTATCCCACCCAATTTTGGGTATGCAATTTCTATACTGCCCACTTACAACAACCCAGTGCTCTGAGGAGACAATCATCTTCTTTGATGTGAAGAATCTTCATTCCTGTTGGAACCTTGTGAGTCCGCATCCATCAGCAAAGTCAAATCAGGACAGGCCCTCCAGAAAGTCTGCAGCACTATGCACCAGTTCACAGGCTCACATAACTTCTCTTCATCGGCTCAGGTTCTCGTCAACTCGATGTGGGCTCCCTCAATGAGTGTCACTGGTTTAGTTCTGAAGGCTTCCCAGCCTAACTGTTATTGAATCAGTTCCTATTCATAGCAACTCTGTACAACAGAATGAAACCCTGCTTGGTCCTTTGTCATCCTCACAATTGTCATGTTGGGTTCATTCTTGTAAGCACTGTGTCAATCCATCTCATTGAAGGTTTTCCTTTTCCTCACTGTTCTGTATACTAGTATCTCCTGGTGACATGTCCAAAGCCATGAGGCAGAGTATTGCCATCATCACTGCTAAGGAGCATTCTGGCTATATTCCAGACAGCCTTGTTTGATCTCTGGCAGTTCATAGTATTTCAATTGCCTCATATGCATGTGAAACTGGACAATGAAGAAGGAAAACTGGCTTATAGATGCATTTGGATTATAATGCTGGTGAAGAATATTGAAACACCCAGTGGTAGCAACCAGTGGGAACCAGAAAATCAAATGCTCTAGCACTTGTGACAGGTTCAAATAAATGACAGCCACTATAATGTCTTGAAATTTAAAGGAGTTTTTTATTTGGTTATAACGGGATGGTGAGAATCTAAAAGTGACTCTTTGGTTGCAGTCCCAAGTGGACACTTCAGCCCATCTTGAAAGGCAAAATCTCATTTATCATTTGTCTAGGACTTAAGCAAGCATGGACAGAAGCAGAAAGCAAAATTAATGTTATTAGTCTTTAGAGTTAGTGAGTGTTTCAGGGTATAGCATTGATTATAACATCCTGATTAATAAAATAAAAAGAGTAATGTGATAGTTACATAATCTGTTGTCAATTTGAAACAAGAATGAAGGGGTGGAGTTTAGCCTGTCAATCAGGTCACAGCTTGATGCCCTCATTTAGAGGCGCTAAGGAGATACATAGCTCGCTGGAGGTGGGACACATTCTCATGCCCTGCAAGACATTTCTGTGGACAAGACACATGGAGCTAGAGCCCTGGAGCTGAAGGAGCTGCTTGTAGACCCCTGCCAACCCTGAGAGGCTCCTACTGCCATTGAATCCACAAAACTTTCCATCCACTGTCCTGTGATCTTCCTGCATGTGCTGCATGAATCTGAAGAGGAATTTATAGATTGTTAGAAAACATATAGGCTAATATTGGACTTATGGACTTCATGTGGACTGGGCTGGGAGGTTTTCTCAATATTCAATTGCTCTTGTATATAAAGCTCTTTCTTATACACGTATGAATGCCTATGAATTTGTTTTTCTAGTCTACAAGGACCAACACAAGTAAAATCCTGGCTACGACATCAAAAGGAACATTAATGACAATGTTTTGATTTTGAGAACAGAAGGGTACTTTCTAAAATCAATCAATAGTGGGTCTTTCTGATATGGGAGGGGGAAAGCAGTAGTGCATTCATCAGTCAACAAGATGGTGTTACAGTGGCTAATGCCAGTCTGTGTCACCCTGATGCCTTCATTTTACTGGGAAAAAAATCCTCTGTATCAGTGGTGCGCAACCTTCCACATGCCGTGACCCTTGAATACAGTTCCTCATATTGTGGTGAGGAACCATAAAATTATTTTTGTTGCTACTTCATAACTGTCATTTTGCTACTGTTATGAATTGGGTGACCATTGTGAAAGGGTCATCTGACCCCAAAGGGGTTGCGACTCACAGGTTGAGAACTGCTGCTCTGTGTATTACTTAGAAAAACCAAGCCCACTGCTGTCAAGTTGATTCTAACTTATGGTGACCTTATGCAAGGTAACTAAGACAATAAATAGTTAAGGAGGCAGACAACCTTATCTATATACATTCAGCAAGTGAATGTAAACCACTGACCTGGCAATTGGCAGCCCAATATCTAATTCACAGCATCACCAAACAAAAATTTAATTTACCACCAAGCAGGTGATTCCATATGTGGAAAAATCGATGGGCTTGAACCATTGACTTTGCAATCAGAAGCTCAATACATAGGCTGCGATGTCATCAGGGTTCCTGTCACAAGGCTCCTTCGCCTGTGAAACCCTGAAATATGAAGAGATAAAGAGAGAGCTTAGGCACAAGGCCAAAGAAATAGAGTTTCTCTAGATGTCTCTTGCGTTCAAGGCATTGAAAGCTGACCTTCCATTGGCTTCCAACTGTTTCCTTGCCAACATGCCTGGGGAAATGTACCCAGTTGAGCTGCACAAGTCCCTAAGTATTTGTTGACGTCTTTTATGTTTTCTTTTCCTAAGATTTGATCTCACATCTAGGACCTGCAACTTATCCCACTATTAGATGATATATTACATAGACTACTTAGGGAGCACAGATATGGCTTGCTAATTTTGTAACTCATTTTGCATCAGGTCAGTGTGTGTGTTAGGTCTGGGTGAATAGAATACAAAATAGAATATATTTGGTCTATCTTCTCTTTGAATTTATATGCTGGAAGTAATTGCCCATCCTTTTTATCAAATGTATTTATATCATATGTACTATATTTAATAAAATTAAAATTAGGCAGTGTTTCCATTTCAATTGACATATGGAATCTGATTTTATATTTTCTACAAAGGGAGAGGAATAAGACAGAGTCCTTTGGAGTAGCGTTCTAGTTTCACCAAGCCATCAGTGACTCATGGACCAAGCCTGTCCAACACAAGTCCTTCTTTCTTCATTAGACTCACTGCACCAGACTGCTCACCATTCTCAGAGCCTCCTATATGCTCTGTACTTCTGCACATGCTATTCCTTCTTCTGGAAAAGCCTTTGCTCATATTCCATCTGACTCATACTTGACATTGCTCATAATTCTTTTCCTGACTTGATTTTCATTCGTCATCATCTCTGGAAATCTCCTTGTACATCATTAATTGGCCCTCCTATATTAGCATGTTCCGCAGTATATTGCCATTAGTTTTAAGCATGTGTCTCCTCTGATGAATTATGAAGAGAGCCTTGGTGGTACCGTGGTTCAGTCCATGGCTACTAGCTGAAAGGTCTGCAGCTCAGTGGTTTGGGGTTTGCTAGATTATAAACTGATACCTGTTCAATCGTAGAAATTCAAGTAAGGTTCTAAGAGCTGACTGAATGAAAGATAATTAAAATGAATTAAATTTCACATCTAAGAGCAGGTAAGCAAGGAAACGACAGTGTCTTATCCCAAATAACTTGAATTCAGATGTCCATTCTCGATGCAGCTCCAGTATTTGAGTATGCAGCATATACACCAACTCAAACAGAATGCTTTCACAAGATCCCATGAAAAGGAACCCATGATAAAAATGATCTAAAATTCATTGTGGTGACAATTATACAACTCTTCTTGATGTGGCTTTACTACTGAATTGTATGGTATGTGAATTATACCATTAAACCTGTTTTAAAATAAAGGAACAAGGACCAGTACAC